TTTTATAAACATGTATATTAATTTTACATTTGATTTTACCAATTGCCGCCCACTAACCGCGCTAGCGTTTAGCGCTCCTGTTGCCAGCTACTAGACGTAGCGCTCGCACTATAAATTTTTGACAGTTTGAAAAAATTGCGATTCATTGTGACCCCTATTGTGTTCCGTGTGGCTGGCAGTGCCACTGATCAGCGATCATAGAGCTGCCTGGCTGGCTCTGACTGAGCCTGGGGTCTACAGACTGGAGACTGAGGACTGAAGACTGAAGACTGGAGACTGAGGCCTGAGGTCCGGGCCGCGCGTTGTGTAACACGAGCCAACCAGAGCCGCAGAACCCATACACATAATGGCACTCTGGTGGGCCTAGAGCACGACGGCGACTTTGTTGGCTTTTGGCTGGCTAAAAGGTAAGCGGAGCTATTGTCGTTGTCGTTGTTGTTGCCGTTGTTGTTGTTGTTGTTGTTGTTCAATAGAATTGTTTGCCAAGAATTATGCTTTATTGATGATGATAATGATGTCCTTGTGGCCGGCTTCTGACCACACCGAGCATTACATTCCTATGTAAGCGTTCAAGATTCCCGGAATGCAACGCACGCCATAAAGCTCGCCAGCCCCTCTCTCCATCTCTCTCTCTCTCTCTCTCTCTCTCTGTGTCTCTCTTTCTCTTTCTCTATCCGCTTGTCTGGCTTGTGGTGTCGCATAATAAAAATGCCATAAGTCAATATCAGGAGCTCGGGAGAAGCACGGGCGCTGGCCGACTCCATGTGAATATGTGTGTTTGTGTGTGTGTGTAACCCAAGCCCAAGCCCAGACACAGGCCCTGGCTCGCGACACTTTCTTAATGAGCTCCAGCCCCCTGCAGACGGAGCAGGGCATTGTCTTTCGAGGGTCAACTTTATGTGCTCGACATCGGCAGCTGCACTCGACGATGATAATGTGCCAATGCGAACGCTTCATTTTGATATGATTAATTAATGCAAAGATCGTTGCTCTAGCGGCGGGATCGGGGGCCACCGATCGACGCATGCATTACGACCCTGTATGTGTAATGTTTGCTCAGCAGTTAGTTTTAATTGAATGTGACATTTCAATAAATTGATAAGCCCCGCTGCACTGCCACTGCCACTGCCACTGCCACAGTCTCCTGTCTGATCTCTTGGCCAGCGATCATTAATGGCTCGTCTGCGATCTCGTGCCGTACTCCACAGCTTCCTCCAACTCCAGGCCACTCCATCCGCTTTTGGTGTTAATATGATCAACGGCAGCTCATCAGCATCTCAACTTTGCTTCGGTTCGTTTTCAATTATCGTTTTTTGCCGTTCACGTCTCTCTCTCTCTCTCCCGCTCACACACGTACTCCTACTCACTGTCTCTCTCTCCCTCTTGCTTTCTTTTTCTACTGCTCTTCTCCCGCTTTTTTTATTGCCAATGAGTGGCGCTGATCATCGCCGATCGCATGGCAAAAGAGCGTGTGAATATGAATATGATTGTGAGTGCGATTGCGAGTCCGAGCTCGAGCCCGAGTCCGAGCGTATTTCAATTGCAGAGACAACAACATTTTAGTTTAATTGAAAATGCTGGCTTTTTATTTTTCCATCATTTTAATTTCCTATAGAAGTCAAGCAGATGCATGTAAAACAATTTGAATGATCCGTCGATCACTTAAATAAGCATGAAAGATGCAGACAGCGACCATCGGGGCGTTAGGGAAAGCTATTAAAACTGAATTAAAAAATTGATGCTACTTTACACAATGCTAATTATCGCAGTTAGATTGATCATCAGACACGGATATGGAAGAAATGTTTGACAGTGGCTGTTGTATTCCTTTATATGAGAATATATGTGCTTACCGATATTTCTATTGACTTATTGATCATAGCTAGATCAACGTATATATTCGGCTTGATTATGAAACTGAATGAAAATATTATCTATGATCCATAATCTATTACATATGTTCTATGGCCTATGATGTGAGCTATGAGCTGTGGTACATGATCGGTGATCTATAAACTATAATCTTATATTTTCTCTATTATTCGCTCCTAAACTGTTTGTTTCAATTGCATAAGCATTCAATTCAAAATTTTGTTTAATCTTCAACTCTTTTCTTTTGGGTTTTCAGCTTCATCATTGAAAATAAGTCTATTTCATCTTAAGACGTGGACTTTCAAAATTGAAACAACTTTATCTGATATCGAGTTATATTTTATTGCAATTATCATCCATTCAGCCTCTTGGCTTGGCAGCAATTGTATGAGGAAGCTGGCAGAGTGAACCAAAAATAGTACACGAATAGAGATCGGGTCAGATCTAATGTGCTACATACTATCAAGGTGGTCTCCCAAGCTGGCACCGGGTGCATTGTGGTGTGTCGTGTCGGCTGCAATTTTTATGATTTTTGTTCATTTTTATATGTTTATTTGTTGCCCGGTTGTGTGTGTTCTGTGTGAGCGAGCGAGAGGGCGCTAGAGGGGTCAAAGAAGATAGACAGAGAGAGGTAGAGTGAGATAGAGAGAGAGTGAGAGCGTGAGTGAGTGAGAGCCCATCATTAACCCATTAAACTTCCGATTTGCCGACAGCGATAAACGATGCCGACGGCGTCGTCTTTTAGCGTTGCTCTTCTTCTTCTATTACGGGTGTGTGTGTGTGTGCGTGTGTTCTTTTTTAGAGTCTGTTTTTCGGTTCTTTTTTTTTTTTTTTTTTTTTTTTTTTTTTTTTTTTAATGACATATCGTAAAGATTTGTTAAAAGCCGTCGCAAAGATCTTTGAAATGCGCTATGCTTCCTGCGTCCATGAGCTAATTTTGCTGATGCGTGAAAATATAACGATAGGAGCAGAGATCAGACAGTGAAAGGGAGAGGGAGGTAGAGGGAGAGAGAGAGAGAGAGTGGGGCGCCGTTGCGGCTTGGGGTAGCCTAAGAAAATGCCCCCATGTAATTGAATTGGAAGTGGGCCACCCAACTGGCCAACTCAAATTGAGCAAATATAATTTCGCTATAAATTATGGGTCGCAAAATGTAAAAACCTCAAAATATTGAAACGTGTTCGAATTGTTGCCGCTGGCCCACCCCAGAGCGATCCGCTGGGAGGGCCTCCTCTTGACCTCAACCGCAAAAATGCAAACGAATGTAATCAATTTTTTGTTATGGCCACGACTTTTGCGGCATTTTGCTCGCGTTTTTGATTGAAAATTGTAAATAAATTGTATAAACGTCATCTACTCGCAAAATGCAAATATCCAGAGATCCGCAGATCCACAGATCCACAGAGTCAGTGAGACAGTGAGCCAGGACGGTCCAGCAACGTCTTGGATACTCTGGCCGGGCTCAATTGAGCAATTTGCGAGAGACGACGACGACGACGACGACGACGCATAATTGTGCCACGTTCGCGCTGAATGATTTGCTCAAAGGTGGGGCTGGCCGTCTTTTGGGGCATCTGCTGGCTCAGTTCGGAAGCCGCTGAGAAACCGCAGAATATCGTGATTATGGCAAGCGGCACTGTTGATTATATTTACTTATGTTTATTATTATTATATAGATATATATATAAACCTATATAGTAAGTATTAGTAAGTATTATTAGCCGGCGCCAGCCTCTGGCCAGACCTCATAATAATCGCTACCGGTCTTGGGGGTCTCGGGCTTTGGATGTTAGGTGTTGGCTGTTGGAGCAGCTCAAAGATCGTTCCACTTTGCCTGCTTTCCGGCCAACTCAATTTGCTAGCTGGTCCAGATGTTTCATTAAATATAAACTATGAAAAAAGCACACACACACACACTCACACACACACACAAACTATGGCCATTCGCTGACTGCTTTTTATGGTGGAAAGGTGAAAAGTTGTTAGTCATATTAATTGTTTGGGGGAAAGCTTAAACAATATTAAATCTTCAACTTTGAACTGAAATTTCTCCGAAATTAGCAAGAATTGCTGACTTTAGAAATGTGTTTATGTTAATAAAAATCATGTTAAAAAAAAAAAAAAAATGCAATTTAATGCTTATCTAACTCAAAGTTCAGTAGAAGAGAGTTATCAAAGAAATCAATGAATATAACGTATATAAAATATATAAGAATCAAGATGAAATTTATGATTTGGAATCGAAATACGTGTGCGAATAGTTGGGAAAAAACGCAACATAGTAGGAGAGGAGAAAAAGGATAACTGATAGGAATATAAAAGAATGATATTGATAAAAAGAAGAAACTGGAGACGGAGAGGGAGCTGAAGATAGAGAAAGAACTAGATATGGGGAGATACTGGAGATATAGAGGGCAAAAGACTGAAATGGAAAGAGACAAAAATAGGCAGTGAAAGGAAGATTGCAAGAATGAAAGCTAGAACTGTCTATGTGATAGGGAGAGATTGAAATATAAAGAGATTGTATAAGCGAAAAGTATAAGAGTGGAAGAAAGAAAGAAATAATGAGAGAGTTTACTAGATTAAGAAAGAGAGAAACAGCTTAGATCCTCTATATGAAAAATAACTTACTTAAATTTTCAAATTTACATTTAATATTCATCAATTATTAATTTTAACACCAAATCTTTCTAACAGGGACCGTTACGATTATAACCTTTATAGCAACAAATTTAAAAATAATTGTTTTTTTTTTTTTTTTTTTTTTTTTTTTTTTTTTTTTTTGGGTTCTTTTGAGTCTCAATTGTTTTAAATTTATAACTCTTATTTGCAGTCCCTACTTTCTAAATTAGATCTATATATGATCATATATGATCATAAAAATCCCAAATGAATTACTGATAATTTAGCTCAACAAACAAACCTTCCCCCACCTATAAGCTGGTGCCACTGACTAGGCCAGAGCTATGGGGTCGACCCTTTTTCGCTGCAGACCCTAGGCATACATTAAGCTGCCACAGCAATCAGCGATCGGGCAGCACTATCTGTGTGCCAGAGGCGCCATGGGTGTACGTTTAATGTGATTTTTTACACAGAAAGTCGTTGCGATTGGCGATCGGGCAGATCGCTGATCGTTTGCTGGGTAACACCCCAACAATAGTGAAAAAGTAAACAAAACGCGAATGAAAATTAAATTAAAATGCTGAAAAATGGAAAATGGAAATGAAAATGGAAAAGGTAGCAGGCAGGTGACGCTGACGCTGACGATGACGGAAAGGAAACCGTCACATGCGAAAACAAAAGACGTCGCGAGGCTGTTACGTTGAGCGATCATCAACAAGCGACGGGAACGAGCACATAAGCTCTACATGGGTGTAAGTGGATATTATACAGGTATAGAGCTATATAGACGTGTTATATATGTAGTTATATATATATGCACATATAGAGCATTGTGTGTGTGTGTGTGTGTGTGTGTGTGTGCTGAGTGTGGAGTCAAGTGTGGTAAGGCCTTTTTGCAGAGCTTCAGTAGTTCCCTCATTTGATGTTGTCTATTGTGTGGGACCTTCCCCTATACGTCTCCTCGCACTCGCACACACACACACACATATATACACACACACATGCACGTATGCAGTTGCTGTCTCTGTTTGGCTAAAGGGGGCATTGCGTTGATAGCTCGTATGTAACAGGAGACATGCTCTACTGAACATGAGGTTCGATTAAATGTTAATGTTGGTTAACTTTGGGGTTTTTCTTTGGCTTGTGTTTTTGTTTTTTATTCGCTCTCACTACCTGTCTCTGTCCCTCTTTCTGGCTGGCTGTGTGAGTGTGCATCTATTTAACTACCAAAACTTGTCTACGTTCACACATAAAAATCGCATACATATCGAAGGGGGTCTGCTCTTTTTTTTTAGTTTTTCATTTTATTTTGTTTATTTTGGGTGGCTGAAGGGCAGGCGGGGGCGTGAGGTGCTTGCTGCTTGGTTGGCTGGCGCGCTCAAACGTAATGAACGACGCATCTTCTCGAACCGCATCGGCAGGAGGAAGGGGCTGCCTTCTCTCTCTCTCTCTCTTTCTCTCTCACACACTTTCTGCGTCTCTCTCCGTCTCTCTGGCGCATTGCGTAGCGCGCACTGCGCAGCCGTGGCGCTGCCTCTCGCTATTGCCATCTCACTCTGCCGCCCACGCACACGCGCCTGCGAATGCTTTTCGGCTGCACTTTTGGCTGTTGCTGTTGCTGCTGGCAGGTGTTTGGGAGCTCGTCTCATTTTTGAACTCAAAGTCAAGTAGTCATTGTTATTGTTGTTGTTGTTGTTGTTGTTTGTCTTTTGCACTTCACTTCACTTGAATTTTGCATCGCTTGGATGCTTCTTCGCTCAGCTCAGAGCAGCTTGACTCGGCTTGAGTTGGGCTCAGTTCAACTTGGTTTGCTTTGGGGTTTTTGTTATTTTTGTTTGGTCTGGGGGGTAGACCTGGTCGTAAATTTCTTTAGGCCTCAGTTGCTGTTGTTGTTGCTGCCTATTAAAGTGCGATTTGTTTAATGATTTTCTACAACTCGCTGTATAAATTTTCCATTTGAAATTACCTACATGCGAGACGAAAACCGAACCGAGAAACTGAACAACTGAGCGACTGAGCAACTAAGCAACTGAGCAACTAAGCTGCCGGCCCAGCCAGACGCTTCAGTTGAGTTTTAGGAGTTTTGGAAATGCGCATGAAAATTAAGTGTTTTATTATGCAAAAACAGACCAACAACAATAACAACAGCAACAGCAACAGCAACAATACTGATTGCGCCTTGAGACCCCCAATGTAAAGATCCCCCCGCACAGCGCCCCTATTAGCCAACCCTTGACTGAGTTACGCTTTTGGCTTATGTTTGAACTTTTGCTGCGCTTTAAATTCCACTTGGTCGCCGCTTCATTTTAGTTAGTTGGTAATATTAGCGGCTTTAATTAATGGTCCACTTGGCTGCTCTGCAGCCAGACATGTGTGTCTCAGTGTGTGTGTGTGTTTGTGTGTATTAAGCAATGAACTGATTTGCATTGAGTTTACCTCCAGCAGCGGCATGGGAAATTAGTTGAACTGAAACGAAGCTTATTACCAACTATTGCTGGGAACTGGCCAACTAGTAATAGCCATACTTTGTAGCTCTTGGCTTAAAAGAGAGAGGCCTAGAGAAACCGATAGAGAGAGAGAAAGAGAGAGAGATAGAGAGAGAGGGAGAGAGAGATGTGTACAGGTGGGTAGAGTGCATGATAATGTCTCATATATAGAGATCCTAGCGGACTGTAAATCATGTTTCTTCTATGTCATTCTATAGGGTGGATCAATTACCCCTATAACTTTCTGTAAGCTTCTATTCCGAGCTTGTTGCATTTGCCGATCTAATATCATATATTGGCTCTGAAAGCTCTGCCCGTCTGATCAACATTGAAATTCTAATGAATCCGCAATACAAATAAATAAATTTCACCAGCTGAATAAATTTTTTTAATAAAACAACAAATTATATCAAAACAATATCGTCTAAAACTTCTGATGGCTTACATTTGGGTATATAAACCGTTAAAGATTTGACTAACTGATAATGCTCTTAACTTGAAAACGAAACAACAACAACAACAGCAACAACAGCAACTTTCAACTATTGTTAGAGAAATGATGATTTATGAATTGCTTATGCGAACTCTTTCTGCAATTTCCAATTCTCAGCCATTAAATTGGCAAAATGGCTTTCTCTCAGTCAATGGGCCGAGGCTTGCCGCCCAGCACTTGTAAAGACCCGAGCCAATTGCTGCCATTTACCACACACATTACACGATGCGAGCAAGCCAAATAAGCGCCAATCTATAAAGTCGACGTCGACGACAAGGCAGACTACATACATACATATATAGCCATTGTATGTATGTATGTGTATTGCATGTCTATATAGGCTAACGATACTAGACTATGGCGCTAGCCTTAAGAGGTGGCAATCAAACAGCCAAAGAGAACTACAACAACAACAACAACAGCAACTAATAATAATTCAAATTGTAACACATGCGACGTCTTGGCCCGATACTTTGGAGCAGAGCGAAGGAGATGGGCTTAGTGTTGGTTGCCTGAGCTGCTTGAGGGAGGCGAATTGCAGCGACTTCTTAGACTACTTTAGCAATGTCTTCAATTTCTTCTCCTTTTTCTTCTCGTTGTTGTTGTTCTTGTGGTGGCTCAGCAAGCGGCGTCATAATTTTTTTTGCCGCTGATTTATGCCCGAAGGCATAATGACTGGAAGCAATGGAGTATGCATTACATACAGAAGTCCATTGCAAATGCGGATTGAGAATAGGGAATGAAGAATGCGAAATGAAGACTGGTAGTTGGCGGATTGATGAAGATGGAGATGGGAAATGAAAGGAAATGGTAGATGGAAGATGGGAATGAAGATGGAGCTGGCGTTGTGGATGGTGGTGCAGTTGCTGGTGGTGGTGGAGCGGTGCTCAGYTATTGGGGTTTGGCCATACATCAGGGGAGCCGTAAACGCGAACGGCGATTCGCGTGATAGAACAATGTAAAAATTATGAACGCTTAAAATATGGGCGAAAACTTTGCTAGCGCCTGAAAAATGCATGCATACATATGCATGTGGCACGGTCAGCAAAATCTATGTACACGAAATAATTGATAAAACAGTGATCCAATAGCATAGCAGCCGGAGCAGCTAATCCATCCCACTTTGTGGCATAAATTACACGGCCCTCCGTTGGCCAAACGCGATTAGCTTGGCGATTGTGCATCAGAACGGGGCCAGCCAACCCTCCGGATTTGGTTCAGTGGCTCGCTTTAATGGCCACCTCTAAACTGAGCTCTCGTCGACTCCACTCCAGTCAGCAGAGACTGGGCATGGATTCTGTTTAAGAATATGAATTGCTTTTAAGAAATGTATTAATTTCAGATAAGTGTGCATTTAAAGTGCTTGACATGTATTTCAATATTAATGAAATATAAATTTATTTAATTTACCTCTTAAAAGAAGCAAGTCAGGGAGAGGAAGCTCTAGTCGAGTGACACCAACTGCTGAATGCCTGTTTACGCTCCAAAAACAGTCGGATTCCATATGGCTCCCATTCCAGTAGGCTGCTGATTATTCTGGTACCTTTTAGGAGTTTTGCTGGAAAACTCTGTAATCTATAGTGTTTTTTCTTGGGTTGACAAACGTGATTTTATATAATTTTTGGGAAATTGTAAATTAACCAATAACTTTTGAAGTCTGCTCTAAAGAGACTTTTGTCGATTGAACAAATTTACTTTTTAATTTCTAGTTTCTAGATGTAGATTGTGGATTGTAGAAGGCTGTTAAGCCTCCCTCTTTTTTACTGAGATATGGTAAATTCCTTATACTTCGTTTCATTTAAACTGAGAGTTAATTAATGTATATACATATATAAATTCCAAATAACAAATCTCTGATCTCAATGCTGGCAGACGAACGAACAGCAAGACGGACATAGCTCAAAGCCAATATTCTTGCTAGCGAGCCAATATTCTCAGCTCCTCGATATATATAGCCAGATAGAGGTTATTGCTTTTATTTGGATTTGGATGATTGCTTTCTATATTATTTTTATAATTTTATAAATTTTATGGCCAAGTAAATAATTTCTATAATATAATTTCACAGCTGCAT